AGCAATATAGAAGGTTTTAGAGTAAAGTGGTGCTAAACGAAAGCACATAAAAGAATAGTTAGTGGATTCAAATCTAGTTCCCGACAAATGGGTGAAATCTTACGAATCTAAATGCCCAGGCCAAGCATGTAACTATTAGCATCTTTACAAATTAAATGAACATAACCATCAAACTAAGATCACAAGATGAGACAGCTGAACTGAAAAAGTCTCTTAAATTGCAATTAGGTCTGGTGAATTTTGAAAAATATTTGACTCAACAGGAGAAAAGTTTAAAGACCACGAATATTAGTGAATAATAGATTTAGAGAACTTTTGTTTGTGGTGATGGTTTTTTGTGTCACTTTTTAAATTGGTTAAAGAATTTGATTCTAAGCACAGATAGTACTCAGTACAAAATTACAAACAGGGACACCACTCATGCACAACATGGCACTGTCAATACTCTGATATTATACAGCTGTTGATGGAGTCAACCTTTCTAAGAGCTACCTCAGAGTTTAGGAAACCTGACTACTAGCCGAACCAAAAAACTGAGTTTTAGAGCTGTACCTTCATAAGGAAATAATAGAATGAGTTGTCTAGTCATAAAAACTAAGACATAAGCAAAACCCATGCAACGAGTCAAGAAGATTCAGCACTCATCATCTTAAACTGGAAAAAAAATATAAATACATTTATGCCAGCCTAATAGATAAAGAAGGGGTGCAAAGCTGATCACCAGATCTCTTTATTCTCTTAGTGTTAAATAGAATCTGTTTACCATTTATCATACTAAATATCGTTGGAGCTAGCCATAAAATTAGTATTGTGTGTAATAAAATCAAATGTTACTTTTTTCAAAGAGTTAAGAATCTAAAAAACTTGCAGATGCTGAAAAATTGTTGCAAATTGAGATATCATAGGAGATTTCCGTCTGATTTTTTACTTCCTGCCACTCTCCAACTTTCTTTTTCTATTTAACATTGGCATTTTTAATTATAAATAATACTATTTTCAATCTAAAATTAGTTAGTATTTAGAGTATGAAAAATATGAGACTTTTTAAAAACCCCACCCCTGCAAAATAAAATAAAAATTATAACCAAAGATGGTTTAACTATAAAAGATATCATGTATTTTATACAAACATTTTTATACAAAACAAGAGGGCGAATTTATCACTGAAAATACCACTTAACTTACTTTACACCGAAAACAAGGTGAAAAAATTGCTTGAACTTTTAGGTCAGATTTCTGCGAATCAGTAAAGCGGTTCGTATTACTTTAAAAAATATACAAAAATTTATCAGAGGTGACTGGCTAAGGAAAATAAACTTGTTTTTTCGATACTATATATTTAACTTTAGCATTTTGCACCTAGTTCAGTACAAGTTAATCGCTAAGCATCAACATGAACTTCCTAAGACAAAAGTCATGTGTTACAAATTTATTAGAGATAATAGACATCACATCAGAGGCACTGTACTGTGGATTTTACATAATCATAATTTATCTGGATTTTGCTCAAGCTTTTGATAAAGTCTGTCATGAAGCGTTAGTTGTCAAATTAGACGCTTATGGTTTCAAAGGTAAACTACTGAGATGGTTAAAAGCGTTCCTTATGGACAGAAAAAAAAAAGTTCTTGTTGACAAAAACTACCTTGCGTGGATAAAATTTCAGAATGGTGTGCTATAAGGATCTGTTCTAGGTCCTCTTTTTATAGTGTACATAAGTAATATGCCAGATGTTGCCAAATGTTCACTCAAGCTCTTTGCTGGTGACAGCAAACTAATTAATATAATATTAAATCAGTTTGACATTGAACAGCTGCAGGCAGATCTTGATGCAATGGCTAGATGGGCTGATAATTGGAGTATGGAGTTCAATTCAAACAAATTCAAAGTATTGACAAAAAAAATTGTCCAATAAAACAATCTATCACAATTTCGATCACAAATTTAGCATACAAAATCATGACAATAGCCACAAAGAGAGATCTTGAAATTTTAATAACTAGCAATCTAAAATGGTCAGCCGAATTAAAACATGCAGCAGTTAAAGCTAATGCAGCACTAGCTTCTCTTAAATGGACTTTTTGAGACCCACCTTGATTATGGAAAGCCTGCTTGAGTACCGTTAAACAAAATTGATTAAATTATTAAACGAGTACAAAGAAGAGCTACCAAATTATGCCATACATTAAGGGAAAAAAATATGAAGATCCACTAGTACTACACAATATCCAATCAGTCAAAGCATGCAGCACACAAATATATGCAATTCAGTATTTTAAGGAAAGTACTGTATTTAATACTACATCCTGAATCCACCCACCAAACAAGTTCCGATCTGGCGATTGTCCTGGGCCAGCAAATGGAGTTAGGAGAAATAAGGAACATCTAATCAAGTAACTCACAAATAACTGTCGTGAAAGAGAATAAATTTTGTTAAATAGAGTGGTTTATGTTTGGAACACACTGCCTAATGCAGTTAAAATCTCCAAAACTACACATTTATTAAAAAACCGTTACAAATCCTATCTGAAAACAATATGAACCTTTATATACAGTTCAGCTGTCATTATTAATATTATTCCATATTCATATATATATATATATATATATATATATATATATATATATATATATATATATATATATATATATATATATATATATATATATATATATATATATATATACATATATATATATATATATATATATATATATATATATATATATATATATATATATATATACATATATATATATATATATATATATATATATATATATATATATATATATATACATATATATATATATGTAATGAATGTATTAATGTTTTATATAAATTATTATTAATATTATTCCATATTCATATATATATATATATATATATATATATATATATATTATATATATATATATATATATATGTAATGAATGTATTATATAAATATATATATATATATATATATATATATATATACATATATATATATATATATATATATATATATATATATATATATATATACATATATATATATATATATATACATATATATATATATATATATATAGATATATATATATATATATATATATATATATATATATGTATATATATATATATATATATATATATATATATGTATATATATATATATATATATATACATATATATATATAAATATATATATATATATATATATGTATATATATATATTTATATATATATATATATATTTATATATATATATATATATATATATATATATATATATATATATATATATATATATATATATATATATATATATATATATATATATATATATATATATATTAGGGACACTTGACTTTTTAAGTAATTTTAAAGTAAAAACTACTTTAATGAATAAATATGTATTTTGTAGTTATTTTTTTATTGTTTTTATTGTTAGAGAACTTTATTTTGAATATAAAACAACATAATTACTTATTCAAAGCTATTTATTTTTTTATAAAAAGTTTTAACATAACAAATAAGGTAATAATCTTAATAATTTGTAATGCCACCCTTTGCTAGAATATCGGGTGTCAGGCGTCAGGGCATGCATTCTATGCAGACTTTTGCATTGTGTTAGAGACTGGAGCTTCTATGCCACTCTTATAAGGGTTTCTATCAATTGCTGCTCGGTAGTGATGATTTCTTTGGCAATCACTCATTTTGTAAACTACCATAGATTTTCTATGGGATTCATATCAGGTGAATTCCCTGGCCATGGCAAAACACGCACTTTTTTTTAAATTAAATCTTGTAACACTTCTAGCTTTATTGCTAAAACTAGTCCTGCCTCATGGTCCCTTCCACAATGTAAAGGTAGCCCATACCCTTGGGTGAGATCACAGACCACACAATTACACTCACAAAATGTTTCACCTTTTCCAAAAAGCAGTCATGGTGGAATTTTTCTCCTAAGCGTCGTTGAACAAATGAGCTTTTATCCATCAAAATTTTAAATGTTGATTTGTCCGAGAAGCAGACCTGTAAAACATTTCAAAGATATTTTAAAATATTAACCTTAAATTTTCCTGGTTTCTTACATTATATTTACTCCAGTCTTCAATAATCATATGCTGTTGTTTTCTAGCCCAATCCAATTGATTTTATATCATGGCTTCAGTTAAACATGATTTTTTTTTGGAGGATGACGATACATTAAATCCTCTTCAACCAACCTTCTCTGAACCGTCCTTTTGGAGATGTTAATTTCTTCATTGTTTATCAGTGTAGGTAGTTAAGCCACACTTTTTGTTTTGTTTTTACGATGGATGTCTCTAATTTTTCGATCACAACGTTGAGTAGTGATCCTTTATCTGCTACTTTTGCCGACACGGTCTGGTTCTAGAGGCACATTTGTATCAATTTTTTTTTTAAATTCTGCTCACTACTGACTTTGAAACACTTGCAATTGCTGCTCTCGAAAAGTGTGTAGAATGAATAAGTAAGGTTATTACTTCCTTACTTTGCCCATGCTAAAAAAATCAATGAGAGGTGAGAATGGTTACAACTCAGGATTTAAGCATTAAAATTAGCAAAAATAATATATTATTAACTATAACTAATTGAACTATTAACCAATAAATAAAAGCTTGCAAAAAATTGTTCCAAAAATAAATATTTGAAATCAATTTTGAACTTACTCCAAGCATACTTTTCAACAATTGACAGCTAATTGAGTAATAACCTAACTTTTTGACATAGTGTGGACCGAATTGCCACAGTTTGAAAACACTTATAGATATATTAACTAAAATACACAAAAAAAATTATATAAAAACAATATGTTTGCTCGCAAAAAACATTAAAACTTTAAAATTTTTTATAAATTAAAGTGTCCCTTATAATTTGGCAACCCACTGTATGTATGTATTTATATAGTCATTATATATTCTATATTATTGTGTTTTACTTATTGAAAAATTTAAATAGCTAATAATGTTCAGACGTTTTTTTATTTTAGACTAGACTAAACGTATAAAAATATTTAAAAAATAAATATAAAGATAAAAAATATTAGGACATAATGGCAGTGGATATATCGAAAAATTTGAATTTGGAAGAGTCACTTAAAGCTAATTCTGTAGGAGTTATTGATGAAAAGTATATATGTAAAGTGTGTAATAAGTTACTATGTGATGCTGTTCAAACAGGGTGTGGAGAGAGGTTTTGTAAAACTTGTGTGCAATTCTTATCAAGGTAATAGTATAAGTTTTTTTGCGAGTATTTTTATGACCATATTTTTTTTACAAATAATTTGAAGGTTTTAATTTGTTTGATAGATTGTGTAAAATTATATTTAATGTTCTATATTTTGTTACTGTTTACATAAAATATTTATTTATTTAATTTTAAATATACATGCAATAGTATGTATATTTATTATGTTTTTTGAGGAATAAGCAAATTAAAATTTATTAACTAATAGTTGAGATAAAAAATATATGTATATTTTTTTTGTTTTATAGTGGAACTTTGTTTTGCCCAGTTGAAAAGGTTGAGTGTCCTTTTTTTTATGATAAGTTTGCGATCAAAGAAATTCTTGCTTTAGAATTTTATTGTCCTTATTTTGAAAATTGCTTATGGAAAGGTCCTTTGAGTAAATTAAAAGTAAGTATTACTTAATTATACAGTTTTCACTTGTAGAAATTTGATGGATTTGATTTAGTGTTTAGTATCTTATGTAGATTACTTTCATCATTTTTTATTATTAAATTTAATTATTAATATATTAATATAAATTTTATATATATTATTATAAATTATTATAAATTTAAGTTTTAATTTAATTGTAAAACAAAAATTTATTTTAAATAGTTAAATAAATATTTAATTCAAAATTTGTTCATCTTTTAAATTTTCTTTGTAAGAATCATTTCTAATAACCATCTTAAAAATCATGTTTTTTGTCTCAGGTTTCTTCTCTAGCAAAAACTAATGCATTGACTCTAAACTAATGTTTATTATTATTTTGCATCTATCTTGAGTTTTATCATGATGCAGGCTTGGTCAGAAAATTAGTTCATGGTCAGGAGTAGAATGCAATTGCACCTGTTTCCCGACCAAGCCTGCATTCAATGATGCAGTACTCAGGACCGTAGTAAGAGCAAAGCCTGGTGCCAGGCCACAGCTTGAGGCACCAAACTTGGGAGTGTGCAAAATTTCTAAAAAAAATATTAAAAAAGTAATTGTTACTTAAAAACAATTTTTTATGGTGTCTCTTTGATGTTGATAAAAAACTTAATTAAAATTTCCAAAAAATAAATTTAAAAAATTGTTACTTAATAATTACCTGGCACTCAATTTAAGATGAAAAGAAAACAGCGCCTAAAAAGTGAAACTACAAAATTGTTTCAAGAAGCGTTTGGTAACAAACTCTGCAGTGGAAAAACGAATTTCTTCAGATAATATTTGTGTTGAAGTTAATGGCCATTCAACATATTTAGTTTTTCAAACAGCTCAAATTTGACTTAAGTTTAGATCATCATTCAGAATTAATTGAAGAGGAGATTTTCATCAGCCAAAGTCAAGAAGAATTTTGCACAAATGATTCAAAAACAACACAGGAAGGTGGAAATTCTCAGTTTTCTGTCCGAGTTGTAATGGATTCCGATGAACTTTATTTAGAAATATCAGATTTTCTACCATTCTCAGTAAACTTTCAATAAAGGGACCCAGCAACATGGCCTTAGGTAACGGACAAAATAAGATTTTTTTGAGAACATTTAAGTTTATGTATGATTCCTTGTTTGTCCGCAAAATTCGATCCCCACCACGTCCCTGGTAGTACCGCGCTCAACTCGTTTCTCCGCGCAGCGGCCTTGTTTGTCAAGGTTCGTGTTTCGGAGTTATAGAGTTGAGAGAGGGTTATAGCCACAAATAAGTAGCCTCCTCGTCTGTAGTGGCCTTCTCGGCCTTGAGGAGGTGAATTAAAATAAAAAAAATAAAAAATAATAATTAAGTTCATTATTTTATCGTAAATTTTAAAATATTTTGTTTTACGGACATACATAAAAACATATATAAACTCGAATGTTCTAAAACATCTTTGTGTGGAAAAAGAATATTCGCAAACACAAAAAACCTGCCAAATCTAGGATCAACTAATTATATTGGTTCATAAAATACTAACTGAAATTTCTAGTGTATTCAAAAAACACTAACTGAATGTTCTAGAGTATTCTGTTGAAATATTTAAAAAAATTGTATTATTTGAGTTTTGTTATGTTTTCGTTGAGATTTCTAGCATAAATTGTTTTAAGAATATACTATCAAACTATTATTTTAATACTATGGCTCATTCTTAAAGCCACATCTACAAAGCTATAAATGTCTTAAACTAACATTATTTGTTTACAAAAATTAATGTTTTAAATTCATATTTTGTAACTTGTCAGCGTTTTGTAAATATATTATAGATTTTATTAGTATATTATTTTTTATATATAAGGGATGTATTTTTCATGTATATAATGTATTTTTATGTATGTAATGTATTTTTATGTACGTATTTTTTATGTATGTAATTTTACGTATGTGTATTTTATTCAAATGTAATCTTAAAATGTAATTTTAATGCAATTTGTGCGATTGATTTTGTAAACAAAAATACTTTCAATAATAACTGCGTTTTCAATGAAATTATTAATAATCATCAAAGTTAATATAACCACTAATCCATTTTCTTCAGTGTACCTGATAACTGATTCTTCCCCCCAAGAAAAAAAAGTTTTTAAGTTCTTAGAAATTGGTTTACTAACTTCAATTATTTTTGCTTCAACCATTCTTACAAACTTGTTATACTTAAACTGAAAGTTACTTTTTTCTATTTAAAATACTAATTAAAATTATAAAGCCCAATCACTAAACATCATCAGCAGTATTGTGAAGCAGTTCCGCTTCCTCCTCACAAAGTAATTTAACGTTTTTAGTTAATTTCTATCTAGCTAATTGCAGGGCGCGAAAAATCGACGAACGTGCGAACGTCTGCACAAAAAAAGATAAAAAAAACGAAGGTTACGTTCCTTTACTTTTCCTAACGCAAACGTTGGCATTCGCCTAAAATTTTTAAAAAAGTGAAGTAATGTTAATTTGCATTTTAAAACTTATAAAAGTTTAAAATGTTCAAGTTTCGCTAAAAAATACATAATAAAATATATAAAGTTATTATGTTTGTTAAAATTTTATTTTTTTTATTGTGCGTTTAACAACACCAATAATATGATATTTTTATTAACTTATTAAATACTTAATATACTATTATTTTTTAAGTTTTTAAAAAAATGTCAAAACAACTAAGCATCTTTTCGATGTTAAAGAAAGATGGCACAGAGGAACGTAGCATTAAACATAAAGGAGAAGAAGAGAGAGAAACTAAACATGCGAAAAAAAAGTGCAATGACTTGGATTGTGCTATGACTTTGGGAAAATTGGATATATGGCCAAAAGATATATAGTTTATGCTTTGGGACACCATAAATGGATTGCCGCCAAGCAATAAAAAACGCGGGCAACAACTAAGCTGGATTCATATTGACAAATCAAATGAGTGCTTTTTTTGCTGGGTTTGCCAAAAGTATCCAAATATTAGCAATACAACCAATTCAGTAACAATGGGATGTAAATTTTGGAACAAAAAAACATATTTGTTACGCCACAATAAAGATGATGGGCATAAAGCCTGTATTTCTAAATATCGAGAGAACCTTCACAATATAGCTCCAAGTCTTGAGAAAACTGTATCGACATCAATTTTAAGAACTACTGAAAATAACCAAGAAGAATTGAACAGACTTTTTCGGGTATCGTATTTTGTTGTTAAAGAGGATCTTGCATTTAAAAAATTTCCTTAACTGTGCAAGCTACAAAATCTAAATGGTATTAAGTTGGGCAAGAACTACTTAAGTGACAAATCTTGCAAAAGCTTAGTATCGTCAATTTCTTCTGACTTAAAACGCAAATTAAGTTAAGAAGTTTCAAATGCTCATTTTATTGCAATTTTATCTGACGGTTCCACTGATAAGAGTATTAGTGAACAAGAAACAGTTTTTTTAAGGTTTGTTAAAAATGGTAATCCCATAACTATATTTGCTGGTATTAACCACTGACAGTTGATGCTGATGGTATATTAAATGCAATAGAATTTGGTTTAAAAAGTTTAACAACAGAAAAAATGAATCAAGATTTATATTTAAATAATATTTATGCAAAAACTGTAAATGTTAACTTTGATGGTGCATCTGTAATGTCTGGCAATAAAGCTGGTGTTCAAACTAAAATGCGAAATAAAAACCCCAGTATAGTATATACCCACTGTGTGGCGCATAGATTAGAACTTTCTGTGTTAGACTCAATAAAGTTTGATATTTATTTAAAGAAGTTTGATGACAACATCAATAGTTTGTTTCGTTTTTACTACTATTCATCATTCAAAGGAACTGAAAGAAATAGCTTCTTTTTTAGATGAGGAGTTTAAACAGCTTGGGAGATTGAAAAATATTTGTTAGCTAGCCGGGAAAGAGCGTTAAGGTTGGTTGAAACAGACTATAAAGTTATTATTTATGATTTAGAAAGTAAGGCAAACGAAAAAGACGAAACTGCCCTGAAAGCTAAAGGATTTTTGTGTTTCATGTAAGACCCACAATTTTTATTTTATTTACATTTTATTCAAGATATTGTTAAATCACTAACAACATTATCATTGGAGTTTCAAAAAGAAGAAATTTTAATTTGTGAGATTTTGCGTAAAGTTGATGCAAGAATTGCTGTACTAGACGCGTTATCAGTTAATCCAGGCTCGAATATTGGACGTTTACTAGATAATTTAGAAGTAAAAGAAGATCAGTTAATCTATAAAGGTATTGATTTAACAGCATTAAAAAAGCGTAATTTAAAGAGAATTGATGAGTTAGTTAGACAACAACCAAATGATTATTTTGATTATTATAATAAAAAATATTTTATTAAAATTATTGTCGGAGCAAAAAAATATATAGACAAGCGATTCCGCCACGATTTTAATCAAGAACTATTAAAATCTTTAACCACAATCTTTGATTGTCGAAAAAATGTTTATATGTATATTTTATGAGTAAATAAATTTAACAAACTAAATTTAAAAAAAAAAGTTTTGCATTGTTGAATAACAGTTTACAATCTTTGCATATTAAAAATCGATAATTTGCACGCACTTTGCAAATAAGTTAAAAATTGTTTCGAAAATATGACAATTAATTAAATTCAATAACCAATTTTTTATATATCCAAAAGCTTATTAATTAGAATAAAAATTTATTTGAATATAAAACTCCCTTATTTGACACGGATCACTTAAATTAGACGTTCGTCAATAATTTAAGATACGAACGTCAATGTCTGTGAAAAAAAAAACGATTTGTCGCGCCCTGAATTGAATTTCTGCTGTAACTCGATGATTTAATTTCATTTGTTTATGTTTCTAAGAAGAATTATTTCAAATGTGTTAATCTTTTCAAACTATGCTAAGCATAAAACAGTTATTGAAAAGACTTTTTTATTTATAAATCATCTAGCGTTAGTTTTATTTTTTGAATCTTGTTGAACTTTTTAGGGCCAGGGCTGCATTATTTTGGTGGCCTTTTTTATGTGCACAGTGTAAAAATGACTAAAAAAATACCAAATGGTCCTCTTGACTATTTTGCTGCCCCTAATATTGTGAGTCCCAGGACTATAGTCCTTCTACCCCCCTCCCTCACCCCCCTCCCCACCCCAGTTCCTCAATCCAGCACTGGAAATAAGACATAAATATATAAATATAATTGATATATATACTCTTTGATAAATCAAAGAACATTTGTTTTCTTATTAAACAATTATTAATAGTAAGTTGTTACTTTATATAAAAAATGTTGTTTAATTTTATAAAAAAATTATAAAAGAGCGACGTTTCAAAAATATTTACTCTAATTGTATTTATTTTTCTTAAAGTTTTTTCCGCGTTAAAAGCTATTTTTCTTTTTTTAACTGTCTCTCATCGGTCCAGTTAATCTTATTGCGCTTTTTTGTTTGTTTTTGAAATGTTTTCAGAACGACTAAAAAATCTGGCTGGTTTTTTGCAACTAAATCATTTTTCCGTAGTCGATTATCGAGTGTGATTGCACTCGATAATTGACCATGATATATGTATATATATTTTTTAATTTTTTGCTTGCAGTTACAATTTTCAGAATTTTCTTCTTTGAGAAATTCATTTTTATTAATCAATGCAAAATTATGTATTTTGCATTGATTAATAATCTTTTAGAAATTCATTTTTATTAATAATGCAAAATTATCTTTTTATATCCTTTTATAATTATTAAAGGACATAATTTTGCATTGATTAATAAAAATGAATTTCTCAAAGAAAAAAATTCTGAAAATTGTAATTGCAAGCAAAAAATTGACTGCCCTATGAATGGCAAATGCTTATCAAAAATATTATTTACAAATGCATTGTTTCCTTGCAAAACAACCCATGACAGACAATTGGCATAACTGAGGGCAAATCGAAAAAACCGTTATGACAACCACAAACAATCTTTTAAAAATAAAAAATACTCAAAAGAGACTATGCTGTCAAAATATATTTGACAACTAAAAGAAAAAATATTAATTTTAAATTAAATTAGTCTATTCTAAAAACTGCGTCTGCCTATAATAACATTTCCAAATTAAAAAAAAAAAAACATAACTCAACTAAAAACATAAAAATCTAAAAGAATGATTAAATGAACTAGGAAAATTAAGTTAATATGTTTTTATTTTAGTTTAAAAGTTTTTCACAACAAAGAATTTAGAAAAAATAAAAGTTTTAAAGTTATTTAATCCAAGTTTAATTACTTTGAAACTTAATTATTTAAAAATTTGAAAATATTTTTAATGTCTAGAAAAAAAAAAAATAAAACATTAAAAAATATATATCAGTTTGTAGGATTTGAAAACTTGACTAATGCCTATATAACTGTCGCGGCTCATAAATGGCTCAATTTATGATAATACTCCATCAACTTATGCGGTACATAAACATGGTGATAAAGGAAAAATTATTAACTTTAATTAAAATGATTTTAAGTTAAAATTAAATTTAAATTAAAAAGTATAATAGTTATATGCTTTTTATTTTCTCTGGGTTTTTTATATATCTTATCATTTGTTAAGTTTGTTTCACTTTTTAATTTATGGTATTTTTATTTTTAATTTTACCTTTAAATTAGTTTAGTTTTATAAGTACATTTTTTTAAACATGCAAACTATCATTATATGGAAAAAATCAAGTTGTCAAAAAAAATATTGTATGCATGGTCGTATAAGGTTTGCAACTGTATGCATCTCATGTATCATGTATCAAAAATCATGTATGCATATATATATATATATATATATATATATATATATATATATATATATATATATATATATATATATATATATATATATATATATATATATATATATATATTATATTCCTATTTTGATAAATAGCAACACTCTGCCAGATTCCTCTAGTATATATCTTTTTTGGATCACCATTCACTACTGACTTCTCATGGAAACCATATATCCATTTTAAGTTTAACATCTACTAGTTTTTCTCTCTATGCTTGTGCTTGTCATATTTTTGCTCCTGATTCTATTCTCTACCTTTATAATTTCTTACTCATCTTTGTATGGAAAACTGTTTTTTTATTTATGATTGTTTTTCTATCAAGGCATTCTTTGTTCTAGACAAGGTCCAAACTATAATTTAGACAAATATTATTTATGCTGCTAACGAAAGATAACACAAAAAGGCTAAGGAACATTATTTATAAAAAATGATAAAAGGAGTAATGACTTAAGAGCGATGATTGATGGAGCAATTACTTATGAGAAGTATAGATAGTTAATGTTGATTATGTTTACTTAAGTTTTTTTTATGTTAATAATATTTCAAGATTTTAATAAGGGTCATTTTAGTTATTGGTAAAGCAAAGTATTACGTATTTCAAAATAAGGTATTAAAATTTAGTTGATAAAAACTTTTTTTCATTTAAAATTGATCAAATTGATAGCATTTGGATTATTTAAAATGTTATATTTATTTCTAATTGAAATACACCAATTAGAATTAAATATGTTCAAAACTATGCAGGTCATAACATTTCTCATTAAATATCACTACTATGTAGGCCATTTTTTTGACAAAAAGCAACAACAAGGTCTCATTTGTGGAATTCTGAAAAGTAGTTATTGTTTTGCAGTCTTGAATTGATCATGATATTTCATGTGCAGTATAACAGGGAGTGATTTTTTTTTATTCTAGAAGTTTTGTTGTTTGTCAATTTTAATTTTGATGTAATTGTAAAAAAAAAAAAACTTGTTTTAAAGATAAAAATTATGTAAAAACTTTGATTATATTGTTTAATTATTCACCATAGTTTAATTATTTGTTGTTTAATTATTATTAATTACTAACTACTTTAAATATTTTGTTACAGGTGCATTTAGTTGTGTGTGAATACGCAATTCAAAAATGTGAAAAATGCGGGGAAGGAATTATTAGAAAAAATTTGGATGAACACAGCTTAACAAATTGTTCTAATTCATTTTTCATCTGTATATATTGCAACGAAAATGTTCTTGTAAAAGACAAGCAGGTATAAATTTTTATTAAAGACAAACAGGTAAAGATTTTTTTCTTTTAAAAGGCACAACTGTTTTCTTACATAAAAAAATATTATTATAAAATACCTTTATACTATTATAAAATACCTTTATCCTTGCAAATTGGTGGGAACTGTACTTTTAAATAGTTTTTATGTGTTATCCATTGTACTTTTTTTGATAAAAATTACAATGTAATTTTTATCAAAAAAATAATTTTTATTGCAAAAGTAGTTACTAATTGCGCAACTCTAGACAAATTTTTTTTTGACTCCAGAATTTGGCAACAGAAAAACTTATTGTTTGTTCCAACCCAAGTCACAGGTTGTTTGTGTTGCTTATACTTATTTTTATCACTTTCTTTCTGATCTTGTTTTAAAAATTAGTCTCTTTTTTGTTTTCTTTTGTTTTTTTTTGTTTTGAAATAAAAGTTTAATAACATTACACTTTTATCTTTATTTAGTAACATTAAACTATGAATTTTATTAACATTACAACATAAAATTTACTAATTAATATTACCCAATTATATTTGCTTAATAACATTACACTATTAATTAACAGAAAAAACACATCTAATCTTTGAAAAGAATTTGTGTTAATAAGTTTTAGGTTATAATAACATAAAATAGATAAACATAACATAAACTACCCGGAGATAATCCATTGCAGCATGGTGATAGCTCTCCCTACAAAAATTGGTTTTCTCACATAACAGACATGTCAAGGAAGAAATCCAAAGAATGTTGGTTCACCGAATTTGACAATAATGGTGATTTTCCTGGTTGCAAAAATACATCATCAGTAGCAAAATGTTCAATATTTAATATGCAAATCAAGGTTTCACGAAAATCTTACCAAAAGAAGATAAAGTAGAAAGCAAAACCTTCAAATTTTCTCCCTTCAATTAAAAAAAACTTTCTATTCTTTTGCGATGTCTGCCTATCCAATATCTAAATCAGAAACATTGAGGCTGAACACTCTAGAATTTAATGTTACTGAAATCAAAACTGAGCTCAATGAAATAAAACAATTGTTAAAAAAAAAGGCTCAAGTGATACTAAATCGGAAAAAGATGATTTATGTTTTAACTAGGAAAGAATTAAAAAATAAGAAATGATCTTTAATGTTGCTCACCTCAAGAGCAACTTCAAATATCATTTTTAAATAAAAGCTGTCAAACAGATATAATCATCAAAGTTTCAAGTCTTTGCAAAAATAAGTAAAATATTACAAAAATGTTTTCAGTATTATAAAAACAAAGTTACACTCGGATTAATTTCCTGCAGAATATATGATAAACTTAATGTAATGTGTTATTTTAACTTTCAAAGTTTCAGATATTATGCACATAAAATCCAAAAAACAAGATCAGATATGCACTAAATGTAGTGAAAAAAATCAAACAATCAGTGCTCTTTAATGGATGAACAATGAGTTAAATGTGTTTTAGATGGACAAAATGGTCATTTTTACTGTGCATTTGATATCAAATGTCCTTCACTTGAGAGTGAAAAAGATAGTTTGAAAGAAAAGCTTGAAATAAATTGTTTAAATGCCAAGTCCAGAAGAATGATAGAACTTACATAAATCATGTTATGCTCACTATGGAATGTTCGCTCTTTTACTAATAAACTTCCAAATGTAATGGAGTAACAGTTTTTATTACCAAAACATGGATGACTTTAGAAAACAATAATACAACAGCAATGATAAAAAATTAGGGATATGTTTTGCGTCACAAAATAGGTTAAGGAAATAGTTAAAGGAAAAGGATAGTAGTAGAAATTATGCTTAAACAATCATATAAGCACAAACAACTACCAAATAAATAGTTTCATTCCTTTGAACATATGTGCGTAGCCAAATGATCACTAATTTTAATTTGCATTTATAGACAAACATTCAACATTTATAGATGAATTCATAGATTTACTTACAACAACAGTATCAACATATAGCTGGTAATATAAACAGGTTACATATAGCTGGTAATATATTTAATATACATATAGCTGGTAATATAAACAGGTTACATATAGCTAGTAATATATTTAATATACATATAGCTGGTAATATAAACAGTTTACATATAGCTGGTAATATACTAAAAAATTATATAGCAAAAGTTTTAAGTTTTAAGGTTTAAGTGTACTTAATCTTACACAAAAAGTCAAAGAATTAACTCATAGAGTAGGACACATACTAGATCTAGTAAATAACAAGCCAGATGAAATATCAGTTATTATGCTGTTGGTGACAGACTTGGATTTGAGTGACCATTTTGTCATTGATTTTAGAGTAGAACAAGAAATAGAAAAATGTACCATTCTATCTCATAGAGTGATTTCAAAACAGTAGACCAGTATCTAATTTAGTATTCATTAACAAGCTAATAGAAAGAGTAGTTTCCGATCGTCTTGATTCCCACATTTTTTTAAATCTTTTTTATTTTACTTCACCTCCTCAAGGCCGAGAAGGCCACTACAGACGAGGAGGCTTCTTATTTTGTGGCTATAACCCTCTCTCAACTCTATAACTCCAAAACACGAACCTTGACAAACAAGGCCGCTGCGCGGAGAAACGAGAGAAACAAACAATCTTTATATAGAATATCAGTGTGGATACAAAAAAGCATTACTCAACTCAAACACTTAAGCTTGCCAATGATATACTTGAACTCTATCATAAACATACACCTTCAGTACCAATTTTACTTGATTTAAGTGCTGCCTTTGACACTATTGATCAGCTAAAACTACTTAAGCTTATAGCTAGTGAAATAGTATAATTTACTCAGCTCACAAGTAGTTTGAATCATTTTTAGTTAACCATACACAAAGTCGAAATTTGTAACTCATATTGCATTTACCAAAATTTAAAATATGGAGCACCGCAATGTAGGTCTCCTGTCTCCAAAATTCATTATTATTTATATGAGACCACTATACGAATATCAGAACTTAATCAAAGTTAAAACTTATGGATACTCAGATGATCGTCTAACTCTAAAAGTATTCCTTCTTTTATCTCGATATATTGTACTAGTCTAAATATACCAAAATGTCTTGGATAATTATATCTAAATGAATGAGTGAATCATTCTTATGTATTAACCAATTAAAAACAAAAACATTAATTATTAAATATATTATTATTAAATATTTTGTTAACAAGAAATACTTTAGATTTGTGGACTCCACGAAAAGTTTGAATGTGGTTTAAATTTAAAATTGTTAATAAAAAAAATTGTTAAAAACTGTTACAATATCCAAAATAAAACAATTCTCATTGCATGAATATTTATACGGAAAACAATGGCCATATTTTTGCCAAATTAGTACGTGACTTGTATAAATTTAAGTAAAAGTCAATTGTAAAAACACAATATTTAAAAAAAAATTTGTTTTGAAAATTTATATATTTTATGTTTTTTGCAGTTTTTAAAAAAAATATTTATTGAGAAAAATTTATTTGGAAAATAAGTTTTTTAAAAAAACCGTCAAAAAGTTACTTGCAATTTATAAGTAACTTAACAAAAGTTTAGACCTGACAAAAGTTTTTCCATTTTTTTTATAAATTAGTTTTAGTTGAATCTATTCTTTCAAAGACAATGCATGCATTGTCACAATATTGCTATCAAGTTCAAAATGATTTTTTTACTTCATTTTTTTTTCTTAAAACTAAATATTACAGGTCTGAATTTCTTAAACCTGTTTTCAAGCTTGAATTAAAATTAATGAGAATTAGGATAAAAGCTAAACTTTTAATTTGTTTATCAGTTTTAATTTGTTTATCAATTGACTTCCTCTTAGAGTATAGAATAACCTTTCTTTTAGGAAAATAGTTATGACTAAAATAATCTAATTATTAATTCTATTTAAAAAAAACACACAAAGTTTGTTTCATTAGCAAAAAATAAACTTCCTACTGTTTGTATGTAACAAACATTTACTCTATTTTTTAAAGTATTGAGATTCAAAACAAATTAGGAAAATTCTTTAAATTTCTATAACTCGTATATATTAAAAAAATTACATTAAAATACTTAAAAAAAAACAGTTTTGCTCAGTATTACTCAAACTTAAACTTGACGATTTATCCAAATGTTTAAGTAAAAAGTTAAAAGTAAAACAATGATTGTGCTACTTACTATTAATTAATTCAAGAAAATTGGATGAATGAATCCAATTTTCTTAATTGAATCATTATTTGCACCTTTATAAACAGAACTTCCACTATATTAATATGTTACAGTTTATTTTCATCTCGTAAATATTCTTAAAAAAAAAGCAAAAAACCAAAGTATGGTTAGCTTGGCCATAATGTTAAGGTAATTTAACAATTCCATAGTATGAGCTTGATATGTGTTATAGTTAACACTTTCAGTTATTTTCATTTTATCAAGAATTAAAACACATTTTTTTATGAATTTTTATTACATTCAAATTCGTTTTGATAAACTTTTACTAATATTTAACAAAAATTTAGTAGTAAGTTCACTTGCAGTTAGTTTTTTTTGGGCAAAAACATTGCGCCAAAAACCATAAAAACCGAACATCCAATCAAAACAATCACATCATTTGCTCCCAAGTACCTTATGTGGCAAGCAATCTGCTCCTGTGGTTTAAAAGCCATACATTACTTATAACTTGTTTATATATAAAAGATTGCTTAAAAAAGGTTTTCCCTTATTTTTGATACTGTAAAAGATTCTACAAGACACGAGAGCCTAATTTTTGAGATGAAATATGAGATTTTATGGCCTGAGAATAGCGGGCTTTGGCGTTAGACAAAACCTTTTTACAATGGTTTCTAGCAAAAGTAAATAGATGTCTGTTTTCTGAAGAATGATTATGCTGATACATGTAGAAGTAATGGGTTTGATATGAAATTGCAGCAGCACAATGTGAGGTAAACCATCGATAAGAGTTAGACTTGACTTGGAATTGGCATGAGAGAATATAAAATTTCATACCAGCCTAAATCCAAGAAGTTATGTATGAAGCACATTATCAGCAGGAAGACAAAGGATTCCTACCCAAGGGCCGCCACGAAAAAAATCACAGAAAGAGTCCCAGTCAGCTTTAAAGTAGTTTTAAGAGGTACAATGATAGGGGGATTCTGATGATGAAGAAGAATGAGACAATAGTTTTAGAGAGATCAAACTGTGATCAGAAGCACCTAAGGGTGAATGTGGAGAAACTGAGCACTGACTAGGATCAGAAACAAGACAGAAGTCAAGTAGAGAAGGTAAATGATTCGGGTTGTCTGGAAAGCGAATTGGAAAGTTGGTTATATGAGTTAGAGATTGAGAAAGGCAAAAGTTGTTGGCCTTAACTCCTGCAAAGCCACTCACACTAGAATCAAACCATTCAGTGTGATGAGCATTAAAGTAAAATCTACAACAACAATATTGGCTGATAGATAGAGAGAGAGGGCATTGGCAATTTGATCAGAAATAACATCAAAAAGAGTGCAGTCTTGAGATAAAGGAGAGCGATATAGAACAAAGAGGAAGGCGATAGAGTGAAGTGGTACTAAACGAAAGCACATGAAAGAATAGTCTGTGGATTTAAACCTAGTTTCGTGACAAATGGGTGAGTTCTTACGAATGTAAATGTCCAGGCCAAATATTTTACTAATGGAGTCTTAAACGAATCAAATGAAGATAACCATCAACACTAAGATCACAAGTTGAGACAGCTGAATTCAAATTAATCTTACAAAGGGCTAGTAGGTCTGGTAAACTTTGTAAGAGACAAGACTCACACAAGATAAGTTACTTCGAAGCCCACAAATGTTAGTGAATGAAAAGTTTAGATAACTTGGTGATGATGATGGTTTTTTGTGTTTTATAGTTATTGGTACTTTAGTCATTTTAAAATTTGTTAAAAAATTTGACTCAAAGCATCAATAGTACTCAGTACACTAATTAATAGTTTAAGCAATCGCCTCATTACTATTAATGAATTTTAAGCTGTAAAAGACTTCAAATGTGGCCTTGACAATGCAAGCCAAAAGTATGAACAGGGGCACCATCCATGCGCAACATGGCATTGTTAGTACTTTGATATTTTACTGCTGTTAATGGAATCAGTTTCTCTTAGAGCTACCACAAATCCAGCATTCGATATCCTAAACTGGAAGCATTTTATTATAAATACATCTGTGCCAGCTTAATAGTTAAAGAAGAAGTGCGGGGCTGGTCAACACATCAAATCTATTTACTCCTTAAGTCTTTGTCTAGGAGGTCTTCTACAAAACAGTAGCCAGATGATTTCAACATCTGCTAAAAATGAGTATTTTTATTGAAACACCATCTCTAGCCTTTACTCAGTGCCCCAAGGCAGGAAGTGTTTTAAGTTAGAGTTGACTTAGCCTTTGCCTAAACAAGCAAAGGTTGTTTTAATTGTGTTAATTTAAAAAAAAATTATGATCTGGAGATGCTTTCTTAGTTTTTTGTATATATAGTTTTCAAGTGTGAATAAAAAGGAATCAGATTTTATGTAGCCAAGTTTACATTTAAATAATAGTTTTTACTTTCTTTATTGTAAAAAAAGCTAAAATGTAAATTGCGTACATGTAAATTGTGTACTAAGTTTATTTATAAAAGTACAATTTCCATTTTTAAAATTCTAAATTTTGTTGTATAAAAAATTTAAATTTGCCAATTATTTTTTAAAAATGAAATTGGCATAGCAACATATTTATTGCGCCACTGCGGCACATGTCAGTATTTATATGTGGCTCTTGTTTCAAAAATTCTGGCCAGTGCTGGTATTTATATTTAATTTGTATGTGATTCTCCCTATACACACATTCAATCAAGCTCATGTTTTTTACTTTTTTTCTTAATCTTAAATAAAAAAAAAAACAGTAAGAAAATTAGACTATACAGTACAGTGAGAATATAAGACTATGCATTACAAAACAATGAGAATATAAGAGAATACAAGATGTTTAAAGAGACAAAAAAATGCCATCACATTACGCAAGTTACATTTAATAAAAAAGGCACCTATTCAAAAGTTATGAGCTGTTTATGAAATTTAGCCTCATTAGTTAGTGATCATTCTTTATGTTAAAATTTGTTTATCAATTATTCACTATTTTAATTTTTATAATATAAAAGTTTTAAAACTTTTTGATTTAATTATATTTGTTTGATTATAACTAGATTTTAGATATAAAAAGATTTTAGAGTTAAAGTGAAAACATTATTTTTAAATTATTTTTTGTAAAAACAAAAAAAAAAAAAAATTTTAATAAAATTTTGATGGTGCTTTAAAAAGAAATGTTTCAATCGGGTCAGGGCAATAATATCCATTTTCGCCATGTATAGTAACATCCGTGCAATAACATCCCAAATTTCATTGATGTATAATAACATCCGTGCAACAACATCTCAAATTTTATTGATGTATAATAACATCCGTGCAATAACATCCCAAATTTTATTGATGTATAATAACATCCGTGCAATAACATCCCAAATTTCATTGATGTATAATAACATCCGTGCAATAACATCCCAAATTTCATTGATGTATAATAACATCCGAGCAACTACATCTGTAGATTTTTTGGATGTAACTACATCCGAATTTTTTTTTTTTTTAAATGCATAATTTTAACCAGATGTAGTTACACATCTGATTTTTTTCAGATGTAACTACATCCGCCAAAAAAAATTATTATAATGCATTATTTTAAGCATAATAATTTTTTTTAATTATTTGATAGACTGTCTTCCCAAACCAAACCCTCAGTCAATGTAGCAGTACTCCGTTGTGAGTCAGGCTATTTGTCAGTCAATGTAGCAGCATTTATATAATATAATAATTATATATGTAACTTATATATGTATCTACATCTGGAACTTTTTTTTTTTTAAGAATGCAGTATTTTAACCAGATGTAGTTGCACTTCTGATTTTTTTCGGGTGTAACTAAATTCCAGGAAAAAAGTAATTTAAAAATGCATTATTTTAACCAGATGTAATTACACATCTGATTTTTTTCGGATGTAACTACCTTCGGAAATTTATTTTATTTTTATTTTTATTTTTAATAATGCATTATTTTAGGTGGATGTAGTTACACATCGAGAAAAACTCTCGGATGTAGTTACATCTTTCTGAAGATGTTATTAGACATCAATGAAATTTCGGATGTTGTTACACAGATGTTAGTTAAGTAAAGAAAAAAAGCGGATGATTTTACACAAAAATGTGCGAGTGTTATCTCCAGAGCAGAGTTTTAGAAACTTTAAAGTAGTTGGGCTCTTTGCTAGTTTTACAAACGGTGTTTTGTTAACATATTTAGCAGCATGTCTCTCTTATCTGGAAAATCAGTTTTATATAATATATAATCATCAAATTGAATGTTAACCTGACATTGATTTTTTTAATTTCATGTTTTTTTTATTTTAATTACATGTTATTTGCTCTAGGTTTTTAGAATTCTTTTTTAGATATATATATGTTTTTTAGATTCATATATGTTTGAAGTCACCTGTGAAGTGTAAACTTGGTTGTGGCTCAACATTTTTATACGAAGAATTAGTAACTCATATTGAAATATGTAGTAATTTAGAAAAAAATTGCATATACAGATTGATTGGTTGCAAATCTGATGTAAGTTGTATTTCTTGTAAAACAATTAACTAATTTTCTAATAATAATTATAATATGTTTTGATTAGTTGTGTTGGATAGTTGATCAGTAACTGCTTGTTAATAATAATGTTTATAAAATATCTGATAATTTAAAACAAAAATGCTAATGACCTACTTAATGCTAAGGATTTAAAAAATAGTTTTTAATTACAATATGAAATAATTTTTAACCATACTGTTTATTATGTATTTAGAAAAAAATATTTTTATTATATAATATTTATATTAATTTTAGTTATTAAATATTATATACATTATAAATCTACATTTTAAGTTCTATCTATATAGTTTTTTGTGAATATATTCTATTTATTTTTATTTTTTTGTCTTCAATGCATGTTTTTTATTACCGGGTGTTCACTAATCAACAGATTGATTTAATAATTAGTCAATTTAAATCTATCATTTTCGATATTATCAATGAGGACCTTATAACACCGTAAGGTCCAGGTTGATGTTTTTTTTGGGGTTATGCAGGTCAGGAAAAAGTCAGGGATTTTCCCTTTTTTCCCTTAAATATCATGGGGAGAACTTCTTTTCAAATTTTTTAATTTTTTATGTGTATTTTTGCAAACTCCAGTAACTTTCCTGTTTAGACAAATCTTTACAGCTAATGCTCAAAAAAAAAAAAAAGCTTCAGCAACTTCTTACAGTACTTTTTTTTGTTAAAATGATGATTTAAACACATTCTTAAATACTTTGGACACTATACATTACTCAACAGCATTTTTTTTTAGAGGTATTGTTCCATAATAAAACATCTGTTTTGGTGTATGTTTTACAGTTTTATAGCTAAAAAACATCTATTGGAAAAACTAAAATAATCTATAATGCCACACAGGGTCTTGCCACATAGTTTCATGATCTAGTTTTAAAGGCTGTCTATAGCTCTAGACATATAGTTGTATGTTTTGATGAGTCTTTGAATGAATTTGTTTAAAAACCTCAAATGAATATTTATATTCGTTATTGGGATGTTATTTGCAACTATTTGACTTCAGGGTCAATATATATATATATATATATATATATATATATATATATATATATATATATATATATATATATATATATATTTTATATAGTATTTTCGTGAAATTTTTTTAAACAGCCATTTCAGCCACAATGCTTTTGTTTTTAAATTTATAAATAGGAGTGTTGCTGAACATGTGTACACTGCTAAAAACTTGTTACATCTTAAAACTTATTAAATTTTTATAAAGTGCTATTTATATTGATTTCATTTTAATTATATTTCTACTGATTTTAAGTAAAATCTTTTAGTGAAAAAGAAAGTTGGTTTAGAGTTATTTTCTTTTGATATTTTACATTTGACTTGAAACTATTTTGCAAACCGTTGTTTTTAAACAATTTGTTACTTTGATGACATATTATTCTTAAATAATAAGACTATAATAATCTGATAATATTAATACGCTAATTTAATAGTAGTATATATTATAATAATAATATATTATGTATTACAATATTATTCTTAAATAATAACAATTTAAAAATATTAAAACATAAAACTATAAAAGTTGCAGAATTTAAAAAGTCGCAAGTTAAAAACCACAATACCCAGGAGAGAGAAATGTAGTCAGCCATTCTATTGATCTCTTTGAGTATTTTATCACTCAGAATAAGAACCAACTTGATTTTGGGGTAATGCAACTTAATTTTCATTCATCGTCTTGACCTGGGGTGTGAAATAACTCCTTATTTGTTAATTTTTACCTAATGGTCTGATTTTTTTCGCAATTTCACAATAATCTCTGCACTTCTCAAAAGTCTAAATGTAAATAATTTTAAAATCAGAAACTTATATATATTGTTTTTGCATAATGGTATTTTAAAGTGAAATTATTTTATCTATACCTTACTATCTTAACCTTTTATGGTCTATCTGATTTCTGTCAATAGAGCCTTATGTCCTAAACACTAAAATACAACAGCATTGTGTCATTATTTTCATCTAGACCGTCCCAGTTTTAATTCATAGATTTAAATAGTTTATTCTCGGGCTTAACAGTTTTATTTACGGCTACAGCTATATGAAGTTCTCCAACATGATGGCAGGATGTTAATAAGAATAATAGTGGGCCATAAAACTTAGCTAATTTTTCAAAAACCTATTTTAAATAGCCAGGGCTTGAAGTGGGTGAAATGTCTGAGATCAAAAAAATTTAACAAATTTTTAGTTGCTGTGTATTGGGTCTCAACCCTATCATGATTGAAAATCACTTTTTTATTCATTTCATGGAATTTGTGCATTTTTTAAAATACCACCACTTAACAAAAGTAATAATAATAAAAATGCGCACAATTGGTACAGATAAAAAAACTTCCATTATTTGTAATGACGTAATTATATAGTTAATGATTTGTAAATTTCTATTCACGCTGTTTGAAAATTTTAGAAACTCATGAAATGTAAAACAGTTAAACTTTGAAAGAGTGCCGTGAGTATAAATAGTCATCTAAAATGAAAATTAAAAAAATTTCATTAAGAAAACACTTTTTTTTTTTTTTTTTTTTTTTTTTTTATTTTAGTTCACCTCCTCAAGGCCGAGAAGGCCACTACAGACGAGGAGGCTACTTATTTGTGGTTATAACCCTCTCTCAACTCTATAACTCCGAAACACGAACCTTGACGAGCAAGGCCGCTGCGCGGAGAAACGAGTTGAAACTTTTATGACACTCCATGTATTAAAATTTGTTCATGAAGGTAAAAATAGAATAGGCTGCTCACCAAGGCCGAGAAGACCATTACAGTAGAGGAGGATACTTTAGTTGTGGTTACCAGGCCGCTTCGTAAAAAAAAAGCAAGTTGAGCGTAGTACTACCAGGGACGTGGTATTGGGCATACCAATACCACGTCCCTGAATATGAAATCAATTTTAGACAAACTTATTTTGCTGCATGATTGGGAATTTTTGGCTAATTGGTTTCAAAAGCATTTCGTGGTGCCCCATGCTTATCATAAAGTATCCCTTTATGATTTCAGATATGATCTGAATGATAAATTTGATTATGTGTCATCCGATAGTCATTATCAAAAAACAAATGCGAACAATTCTTGGATTAGCACTTGACTTTTTATCTTTTTCATTTTCCATTATTAGTCCTTTCATTGTTGTTAGCATATTTTTAATTTGTTGAATGGTTTTTTGTTTTACAATTTTTTGTCTGGTTATGTTTTTTTTTTTAATTTTTTCTAATTTTTATATATATATTTTTTTATCATTTATTTTTTTATTTTTTTATTTTTTTTATTTTTTTATAGTTATTATTGTTGAGTACTGTTTTGGTTGTATAGCCTGTCTTATTTATTTTTAAATATTCCTCTATTAATCTTTATTTTTGTCTTGACAACTGTCAAAATATGCTTTGTCTAATAAACAATTCTCCTTTATTCTAATGTACTTCATTTCTTCCCTCAGGCGTTCACTGCTCGTGTGTGATCATTCGGCGACTTTTATATGCCAAAGTTTTTAAATAATATATATTTTATTAGGCCTATTTACTATCACTGTGAGAAAAAGAAATATACCAAGCAATTACTACACCAAATCTACACCAAACAATTTTACTACACCAATATCTACACCAATTTTACACAAATGTTAAACAATTTTACTACACCAATATCTACACCAATTACTACACCAATATCTACACCAAACAATTTAATTGCACTAATGCAAATACATAAAGAAAAATATTTTTGGCCATATTCAAATCCTTTTCCAAAGGGGTAATATAATACAGTGTATCAATTTGCTCCAAGTGGTCTGTATCAACGTGCCCCTTTAGACAGCGTTGCATTAAATTTGAGTTTAAATTCGAGTTTTAAGCTAAATGATTTTGCATGTGTCATTTGTTTGTTCGTTGCTTCTGTTAAAGTAAGAATTTTAACAGAAGCAACGAACAAACATTTGACATATGCAAAATCATTTAGCAGTATTTTCTTAAACTTATGGAAGGGTTGATAAACTAAATGTACTTACTTTTTTTTAAAATTTCTTACAAAACACGTCAGTTTTGTTCAAAAGTTGCTCGATTTACTAAATGCTTCCTACCTTAATCAACTTTAAAATGAACGGAAATCTTTTTACATCGGACGTTAGGGAACTAAAAAGCTATTTCCTGTACCAAATCTTATTCACGCAATTAGTGCAATAGCTGTTTTATTAGCTTTGTATCAATTTGCCCATAGGCTGCTCAACCTACCCCAGCGGGTAGGTTGAGCAGCCTATGGGGGCAAATTGATGCAAAGCTGTTATTAGTTTTACCCCAGCAGTAAAACTAATAATTTTGATACTAAAATAAAAACAAAACAAAAATTTTCAATCTTAAAACTAAACAAAACTTTTTTAAATTATTTCTAAACAAAACTTGTTAATATTATGATAAAATAATAGCTAAACACTTTATGTTAGTCTTCAATTTCCATTTTGCAGTTAATACAAATATAATTTTGACCAGAATGTGAATCACATTTTGAATAAGACGATTGATATCAACCTTGACGCTGGATCCAATTTTCTTCTGGTAGGCTTTCAGAATAAGTTTCCCAACATTTGTATGTTGGGAAACTTATTGTGACAAGCATAATCATGTCCCGCACCCGTCTTTAATTTTTTCGTCACCTTCATTTTTTTGTGTAATTGTTTTTTAACTTTGTTTAATATTCTAAGCAGCAGAGTCCTCCTTATTATCATAATCTGAAAGGGATTGACAGGCAGAACTTTTTTTTGGTTTCTTTAAAATATCTTTGTTCTCAGTTTTTTTGTTTATTAACTTTTTTTAATATACTAAGTAACTGAGTCTCTTTATTACCACACTCTTTATTAATATTTGAAAGGGATTGACAGATAGACTTTTAAACTAAGAAGCTTTTTTAAGTTTCTTAGTCTGCTGCTGTTTTAATATAATTCTTTCTAGAGTATCTGTTAG